TAATAAGAGAAGCAATGTTTTGGTTGTCGAGAAATACGAGTAGAGGCTGGCTGTTAGACCTTCTTAATGGCTATAACCAATTTATTCATAAACATATGATCGATGATCAATGATAAGAATCAAGGTTGAACCTATCCCTTCAACCAGAAGCTATCTACCATCGATTTAATCCTTGCTCTATTTTATTTTATTTTCCATGCTTTTATAACGACCCCTCTATTTTCTTTTCTCTTGGAAATAAATCCACCCAATCCCTGTGGAGACGACCTTACTCATCACTCTCTACAAAAATATTTAATTTGAGCTGGACATTTATCTTTGGTTGGATTCGACACCCACCAGCTACCTATCAGAAACATCTAGAGAAGTATAGGGTGTTTGAATTTCTTTTTGGCCTTAATCCTGAGTATGATATTGCACGACATCACCTTCTTTCCAGGGACAGTGTTACTCTCTCCCAGGCATATGCCTTTGTCTCAAGGGAGGAGTGTAGGAGAGATGTGATGATGAAAAACCTTATTCATGATCAGTCTGCCATGGTAAGTGCTGTGAAACCTAAACAAAGTGAAGATCGGGGTGGCAGTGAAATCAAGAAGGAAGATAAAAGAGATTTGATCTGTGACTACTGTAAGAAGCCTAAACACACAAGAGATACTTGCTGGGAGCTTCACCCACATCTTGTGCCGACTAGATTGAAAAATATGAAGGGAAATGCACACATGGCAGTTACTGGTGACATTCCGACCCCTCCTACTACAGCTGCTCTGGAGTCTATTGCAGCTGCTGCAGTAAGGGCCGAGCTTGAGAGGTATGGGCTACTTCTGAACCAGTGGGATACAGCCAGTTCTAGTTCAGCTGCAAGCGGACAGCAAGGTACAGGTGGCACTGGTGGAGTCCACTCTACTTCTTTTGCTCACACAGGTGGTTCACACGTCACTGCAAATTATGTTTCTACTTCAGGTAAGGAGGGACCTCCTTGGAATATAGATTCTGGAGCCTCATAGCACATGACCCAGAGCTCTACTAATTTTTCAACTTACCAGCTTTGTTCTGGCAGTGATAGGGTCTCCACAGCTGATGGAATCCCATGTTCCTATTGCTGGGAAGGGATCTATCAAGATTAGTGATTCTATTGCTCTACCCTCTGTCCTTCATGTTCCCAGATTGAGCACTAATTTGTTACCTGTTAGTAGTTTGACTAAGAACCTGAACTACTCAGTAATTTTTTCTCCTGGTCATTGTATTTCGCAGGATCTGGATTCAAAGAGGACGATTGGGAGTGGTCGTGAAGTGAATGGAATCTACCTCCTAGATGTACTTCCTCCTCATCAGAGTCATCATGTCAACAGGGATAGTCAGTCAGGGTCTGTGGGTCAAATTATGCTTTGGCATAATCGTTTGGGCCATTTACCTTTCTCTTCTTTGAGTTTTTTGTTTCCAAAACATTTTGAGTCTATTAATTTGCCAAGTCTGGAGTGTAAAGGTTGTCAACTTGGAAGCATTGTAGACATTCATTTAAACATAGTAATAAAAGATGTTCTTCTTTTGATGTTATTCATTCGGATGTGTGGGGCCCTTACCATGTTCCCTTCTATGGGAGCCTATCGATATTTTCTCTTTTTTGTGGATGATTTCTCACGATACTCTTGGATTTACATGATGAGATCCTATGATGAAGTACCGTCCTTAGTGAGGCAATTTCATCAAATGGTACTAACACAGTTTGGAACAAGAATAAAGGTGTTCAGATCCGACAATGTCAGGGAATATTTTGAAAGACACCTTGCCTCATATCTGTTAGAATATGGTGTTGTCCATCTGAGCAATTGTCCCTACAGTCCACAACAGAATGGTGTTGCAGAAAGGAAGAACAGACATTGTTGAGATTGCAAGAAGCATGATGATCACATCTACAGTTCCAATTCGGTTTTGGGGTGATACAGTTCTCACAGCAGTATATCTGGTTAACAGGGTGCCCTCTCATATACTTGGATTCAGCACCCCATTCAGTCTCCTTTTTCCTCGGGGGAAGATGTTTCATATTCCTCTCAGGGTGTTTGGGTGTGTTTGCTTTGCACATATCCTTGGTCCTCACTGCTCGAAGCTTGACCCCAAGGCAAAGAAGTGTGTATTCCTTGGATTTGCAGAGATCAGAAAGGGTACTGCTGCTATGATCCAGTCTTTGAGAGCCAATATGTTACCATGGATGTCACATTTTTTGAATCCACGTACTTCTTCTCAAAGAATCCTTCTCAGGGGGAGTGTTTTGGGGAAGTGAGTCAGCAGTCTTCCTCTCCTAGTTCCAATCCCTGTGTCTACTCCTGTGCTTGACCACCACCCTGTGTCACCTACCTTGCCACCTCCTTTGCGTTCTGCTTCTCAGCATTACTTACAACAGAGACTTCACAAGGAGGTTGATTCCACTACAGCAGAACTCACATCACTTCCTGTCGATTCCTTGGAGACTCCAAATTCGACTAAAATGGATTCAGGTATTCCTCTTGGTCCCGCTACTGTTTCAGTTCCCATTGATTCTACTAACACTATTACAGATAACCTTGATCTCCCTATTGCTCTCAGAAAAGGGAAGAGAAAGTGTATTGCTCATTGTATTTCACTATACTTATCCTACAATGGACTTTATCCTTCCTACCATGCTTTTCTTTCCTCTTGATTCAGTGTCTATACCCAAGGGTGTTAGTGAGGCTCTCTCCAAACCTGAGTGGAAGACAGCTATACAGGAAGAGATGGCAGCTTTGATTAAGAATCAGACATCGGACATTGTGAATCTACTAGAAGGCAAGGAGACAGTTGGATGCAGATGGGTTTACACAGTAAAATATAAGGCAGACGGAAGTATAGAGAGGTACAAGGCAAGACTTGTTGCAAAAGGGTACACACAAACCTATGGCATTGATTACTTAGAGATCTTTGCACCAGTTGCAAAAATGACCTCTGTTTGGATACTTCTTTCTCTTTCTGCCTCATACTCTTGGCCCTTGTTTCAACTTGATGTGAAGAATGCTTTCCTAAATGGGGATCTRCAAGAAGAAGTGTATATGGATCTTCCTGTTGGCTTTTACAATGATACTGAAAAGGGAAAGGTATGCAGGCTTAAAAAGTCACTTTATGGCTTGAAACAATCTCCCAGAGCATGATTTGACAGATTCAGAAAGGCCTTGATTGCTTTTGGCTACACTCAGACTCAATCCGATCACACCTTGTTTGTGAAGCAAAGGGGATCTTTGGTGTCAGTCCTAATTGTTTATGTGGATGATATTGTTGTCACCGGGAATGACCCGAGTGAGATTGATGGTCTGAAAAGGAACCTACATAAAGAATTTGATATTAAGGATCTTGGAGAAGTAAGATACTTCTTAGGCATTGAAGTTGCAAGATCAAAACATGAAATTTTTTATCTCTCAAAGGAAGTATGTCTTGGATCTTCTTCAAGAGACAGGGAAGCTTGGAACAAAGGCAATCAGCACCCCTATTGATCAGAACCATAAAATCAATGCATCAGAAGGTGAACCAGTAAAGGACATTAGGAGATATTAGAGACTTGTGGGTCGGCTGCTATACTTGTGTATGACAAGACCAGACATTTCCTATGCAGTAAGTGTAGTAAGTCAATACATGCATGCTCCACGAGTCCAGCATTGGGAGGCAGTTGACAAGATTTTTGCTTATCTAAAGGGACACCCGGGCAGAGGCATATTGTTTACTGATCATGGACAGTTGAAACTAGAGGCTTATACAGATGCAGACTGGGCAGGATGCCTTGATGAAAGGAGATCAACTTCAAGAGTGTGCACCCTTGTTGGGGGTAACCTTGTCTCATGAAAGAGTAAGAAACAAACAGTGGTGGCAAGATCAAGTACTGAAGCCTAATACAGGGCCATGGCACATGAAGTTTCGGAACTTCTCTGGATCCGTTCTCTGTTAGAATAAATTGGTGTACAGGCAGAAGAACCTATGATGCTATACTGTGATAACCAAACAACAATTAACATTGCCCATAACCCAATCCAGCATGACCGAACTAAGCACATTGAAGTGGATAGACATTTTATCAGAGAAACGGTAACTTCTGGAGAAGTTTGTCTTCCATACGTTGCTTCTGATCTACAGCTCACTGATGTTCTCACAAAAGGTGTTGCAAAGAACAAGCTAGAGCATGATCTACGCAAGTTGGGAATGTATGACATTTACTCCCAACTTGATGGGGAGTGTTGAGTTGGTCCGAGTTGTTTTTTATTTAGTTAGGAAGTTGTTGGACTTTAGGCCCATTAGTTTATGTTTTTTTAAGTTGCGACTATTCAGCTATATTAGTAGCCACCCTACTAAAGGCATCCTTGTAATATCTCATCCTTTAAGTTAAGTATAAATATAATGAGAGGTAAGCTTCCTACTGTTCAGCTAGGGTTAATTTTTACAATCCTGGTTGACTTCCTACTCTTTTCTTCTTCTCCTTTCTTCTCTACTGCTGAAATCTTCATCTTCCCCCTCTTTCCATTCACAAGAAACTCGACTAAATCTGCAATTAGTGATTTCTACTCTAAGTTAAGACCAACACGCTTTGCACTACGATGACAAATTGTTATCTTATATCGCAGGGTGAAAGCGTTTGTTGCAATTTAGTAGTGATTGTAAGGCAGGACTGCACTGTGATGTGTTTTACCTTATGCTATGATGTGGACACACTGTGGTGATGTGTTTGTATGACCTCCATCGCAAATCTCATGATGCCTAAATCTATGTATTTACACTACCTAAGCAAGGGATTATCAGAAATCAACTGTATTGAGCTTGTTTATAATATGTTTGTTCTTAAAGTGAGTAATCATTAGCCTACACAAGGGTTATTTGTAATGTTTCTAAAACTTTTGAGATTTTTAATAAAATTTCCAGTAACTCATATATGTGACGAACATAGATATCGATATTAACCTTCCAAAAAATACAAAAACGACAGTTCAGAAGTAGAAATAAATATCTACCTGTGAGTAAAAGCAAATAAGATTTCCCTGGTTCTGCAAGAAATTCCATTGTCCGAACAACTTTCTCCAAGCACTCCTTGCTCTACATCATAAAGGTAAGTCAATTAAAATCATTAGTTGGGTCACCATATCACTACATTGTTCACAATTGTTCGATCTATAGTAGCAAGAGTCTTCCATCTCATGCCACACAAACACCAACACAATGAAAATTGGGGAATGGTCCATCTTAGGTTTCTAATTGTACCAAAATTGACCTCGTTGTCATTGAATAATCAAAATCCTAACTAAGGGAAGAAAGATGAAGGCAACAGAGAATGATTCTCATTAAAAAGAAGAAACTCAACAAGAGGTTGTTCATGCGGCTCAAGAAGAGATCCAGAATAAAGGTATTTTCACACCGCAGTAGGGAGGATCACCAATCGAAGCCCAACCACTGGAAAATCAAGTCAAAGTTGAGAACATTTCTTCTGGCGGTGATGATATCTTAGTCGGTGCGACTCAAGGAAGTTTGGAAGCTGAGATGGAGGGTGCAAAAAGATCACCTCTTGGATCAAAGACCCTTGAGATATTTGAACAACTAAATGCTAATGTAAGGTCGGTTCCTCTTCCCTCTTTGTCTGGGCCGACAGTCTCCAATGTTGAGGAGGATTTTCGGAGAAGGGGAGTTGAAGGGGCTGGTCGGAGAAACAATTTGAAGAGGAAGTCACATGGGGAGTGTGACAGACTTGAGCAACAACATAGAGTGTACAACTGAAAGAGAAAATTTTCATTATAGGGAAGTGGAGGGATTGGAGCTGCAAAGGGAGAAGTGGGTGTCAAGGAGAATGTTCTAACAAAGAAAAACTTGGTGAAGGGAGGGTGGAGATTGAACAATTGGTGGAAAGACAGGTCTAGGAAAATCACTTGGACTATTCTTTTTGGGTGGGGAGAAGGTGGTCAGAAAAGCAAGTGAACAATTCGAAAGGAATAGAGGGAACAATATATTAAAAAAGAAAGCAGGGGGGAAGGGGGAGAGGTGTGGGAGGAAGGAGAAGGCAGGAAGAGGACTTTGTCGAGGAAGAGTGAATGGAGTTGCCTGAAAGCTAATAAGGGAGGGGTGGATGTTTGAAGGTGAAAATGAAATTAATTTCTTGGAATGTAAGGGAATTGAAAGGAGGGAGAAGAGTTCTAGTGAGGTTTTTGCTGAGATACATAAGTCAGGCTTTGTTTGTTTCAAAAAACGAAAGTGGAAATTATGACTTTAGCATGAAGATTGAAATCTGGGGTTTTAGAAATGGGAAGTGGGTGGAGATGAACATGGAGAGCCATAGGGCAGTTGATGGTTACAACAATAAAGCTTGGAAGAAGGAAAGGTTTTGGTGCGGCCATTGGTAAATCTGGGTCAATTTGGGTCCTGTAATGCTAGAATTGAATTAAGTAAATAAGGAGGATCTACGGGACATCTTTTGGGGAAAGTCTTGGGGTTACAAATTTGTAACTTGGATGATCTGTTCTAAATTGGTGTTTCTCTTTTTGTTGTTATGTTTGTAGGTGTTGCCTTAACACCTACCCTGTTTGTACTTTTTTCTTTTTAATGAAATTTTGTAAGTTTACTTATCAAAAAATAATCAAAATCCTAGGACCTATAAAAAGGATCCTACAAATGTCCCAACGAAGTCCATGAACCATTTTTAACCCATTAAACCATGCTAATATTCAGAGGCATCTTGGAGGACTATATAATGATGGATATCTGTTTGTTTGCTAGGCTTCTTCAAATCATGACCAATAGCACTCCTAAGATAATAAAATTCTTTTCTGTGACAACTTCAGCAAGGAGAAGTCGAACCCAACCTCCTCATTGTCACCCAACATGTATTAACATTTTACTGACTGCTGAAATTACAACAATGCCCTAGATAAGTTAAAACAGGTATAATAGAGAATAATAACAAGGGAAAAGACATGTATACCCTTGTCAACTAATTCTAACAACTTCTTTTGTGCATTTGCAGAAAAATACAAAATATTAAGAAAACCAAAATATGTCATTGGGTTGCTGAATAGTTTCTAAACAAAGGACAATGATAACAACAGTTGAAAAGGAGAACAAAATGTAAATGGATGAACATATAATAATTACTCTACCAGAAGAAAGCCAGGTAGCCTAAAACTGCATTCTCACCAGGTAAGGAGGATCTGCAACAACAACTTGGTAAGCATGTTTCATTTCCATTGGCATCTCTTCTGGTTGGTTGTAATCATAAAATGTGAAGTCACTCCCATATTGCTCAAAGCGCTTGTCATACTCAAGTAGTTGCACAGAAAGGCTAGCATCCATTTTCTGAAAATCATAAAGCACATATATTAATCACAGCAAAACAAAAGTAGTCTTTTCACCATAGAAAAGTAGGTGATGTACAAAAAGAAGAGAAGGAATAGAAAAAACTGGAGTTTTGAGAAAACACCCAAACAAAGACCATAAAGAAAATACTACATGAAATTCCAACACCCATATCAGCCCTTCAAACAATAGAAAATACCAAAAAAAAAAGAAAACTAAAATATCTTTCTTCACAATCAAAATTCAGTTGCAATAACGCCTCATCAAGCAAATCTTCAACATGAAAGAAAAATTAGCAAATTCCCTCCACTTTCAATAGGGGCACAATTTGGGTTGGCCTGAGACTCCAACTTCTTCATAAATGTTCTCATAACTATTCTATAATACATACATACATACATACATACATACATATATATATATCCTTGACCTTGACCATGTCAATGCAACTTTTGAAGCCTCCCTTTTTCAAGGGAATAATTTCTCCCTTGAGGTACTCAATAACATCCTTTCTAAAAAAAAAAAAGAAACTCTCTCTTACTATTAGGAGACATTTGCTCCTGTGGCCAAGATTACTATAGTTCGTGTTCTTTTACCCCTTTCTACAGCACACTCTTGGACTATCTCTCAATTGGATGTGAAAAATGCTTTTCTACATGGGCATCTCAAAGAGATAGTATATATGAAAACCCCTCCAGGGTACTGTAGTGATTCTTCCCTCGTTTGTCGGTTGAAGAAATCTCTTTATGGGCTGAAGCAAGCTCCTCGAGCATGGTTTGAAAAATTTAGAGACATTGTTGTGAAAGTTGGGTAAAACCAAAGTGCTTCTGGTTACTCTCTCTTTGTTTGAAAAAATATCCTTGGGTATTATGATTCTTCTCTTGTATGTGGATGGCATGTAGACTAGAGATGATAATAGAGGGAATTCAGGACCTCAAGTCTCTCCTTCATAGTTCCTTTCACATGAAGGATTTGGGTCCTCCTACCTATTTCTTAGGACTTGAAGTTCAAAGGAGTCACCAAGGATATTTCATTTGCCAACACAAGTACGCCTCTGATCTTGTTGACCAGCCTTACTAACGATAAACAGGTTGATAGTCCCTTGGAACTGAATGTCAAATTGTCCAAGTCAGAAGGTTCCTTAATTATTGATGCCTCCCTCTATCGACAACCTGTGGGGTCACTCATCTATCTCAGTATGACTTGTCTTGACATCTCACATGCAGTTCAGGTTGTAAGTCAATTTGTCTCTGCTCCCCGTCAACCCCATTTAACTGTTGTACATCGGATTATTAGCTATGTTCGGGGCACTTTATGTCTTTATCACAGGGACTATTCTTCTCTTCATCCTCCCCTATCCAATTGAGGGCCTATGCTAATGCAGATTGGGCAGGCTGCCCCAGAGCACATCATTCCACTACTGGATGGTGTGTCTTCATGGGTGATTCTCTTATCTCATGGAAATGCAAGAAATAATTGTCTCCAAATCGTCTGTGGAAGCAGAGTATAAAGGGCAATGTCATTTATATGCAGTGAAATTGTTTGGCTTCAATCTCTATTTAGGGAATTGGGTCACTCCTCTACTCCTATCCCTTTATATGTTGACAACACTAGTGCTATAAAGATTGCTTCAAACCCTATCTTTCATGAAAGGACGAAGCACATTGAGGTGGATTGCCACTTTATCCAAGACTTGTTTCTTGCTAGCTCTATCTCTCTCCTTCGTGATGCCTCCAATGTGCAAGTTGTTGATATCTTCACAAAGGCCATGACGAGATCCAAACATTTATTCCTTGTGAGAAAATTGATGCTAATGCGTTTGCATCAATTTGAGGGGGAGTGTGAAGAGTCCCATTGATGGATCATACTCTGTAGTCCCTGTTGTACTGTATTTTCCTTGTTATTTTCTTATTTAGTCTTATGAGGGCTTTTACGTAAATATTTATTTTCTTCTTTAGTCCTATAAGGACTTCTTTATAAATATATATATATATATGTTGGCTCTTGGAGTGGGGTCGATTGATTCAGTTTTACACCCTAGAACTGTATTCTCTTCTCTTGTACGAACTGGTTGTATGACAAAATGTCCTCCAATTGCTTCCTCAAAGCCCATCTCTCTTTCTTGTCTCTTTCCTCAAATGAACCTTAGCTTTCTTTTGCATCCAAATTCTCTATTCTATTTATAAACACTTGCTTACTTGCTTCTAATCTTCCAAAATGTTGAATATTCCACTTTTTAATCTTGATTTTTAATTCCTTCAGCTTTTAGTGGAACTTCATCCCTTCCCAATTTGCTCTTAGGTTGCTACCTTCCTACCAATCCTTAACTTCCCCAATAAAACCATTAGATTTCAGCCACATATTCTCAAATATAAAAAGATTCGGACCTCCATCCTCCATATCAACCTTAGAGATGGAAATCGACTAGTGGCCCGAAGTCACTCTAAGAAGGGTTTTAAACACCAAGGCTTCCCCAATGCTCCTCCCAATCCATTAAAAATAAGAATCTATCCAATTTGGAACAAATTGGGTTAACCTACATATTGGACCATGTTCAGATTGATTCTATGTCTAGGATTGTTAGTCTCTTCCATAAATCTTATAACATTGAAATCACCTCCCAAACACCAAAGTCCATCCCATAAACCTCTAATATCTTCCAGTTCCTCCCAAAATTTGTTTCTTTCTCTATAACCACTAGGCATGACCCTCGTACTAAGTACGGGTCCATGATCTAAATTATTTCAATTTTTTAAAATCATCTATATTAGAAATTTAGATTAAGTTTTTTACTTCATTTTTATAGATTTTCTTTTATAGAAAACGGTAACTTTCATTAGATGAAACCAGAGGAACAACTGTCACCTTCTAAAGTAAAAGGTGACCCCTGTATAACAAATAACTAACAACACTGCACACAACAAAACCTCCCAATTCACCCCATGTTTTGCTAGGTTGTCAGCTAAAGCATTTGCAGACCTCCTAGACCAATACACTTGTGCACCCAGTTCCCTTGTGAGGCTCAATAATTCCCTTACATGTTGTATAAGGGACCACGTTCCCAAACTATTTGATTGCAGCCAACCTACTACTAATTTGGAATCCCCCCCCACTTCTAACTGTTGAAAACCCAATTTCTTGGCCCATCTGAGCCCCTGGAGGAGAGCCAAAACTTTAGCTCTAAGCGAGTCCCCCAAACCTATTGGACCAGAATACAAAGCTAGGATTTTTCCTTCCGCATCTCTGAACACACCCCCTATTCCAAAAGGTCTGGGGTTCCCAATAGAGCTGCCATCAAAGTCCAGTTTGACATTACACTTCATAGGAGGGGACCAAACTGCTTGTATGGTAGGTGATGAAGTAGAAGACCTTGCTAAAATACTCAAGCCTTTAAACAAATCATCTATAGAGATATCCTTGAACAGTTCGAGTTTTCAGCCAATGTACTGCCTTGATGGTGATCCCTTCAATAACTTCAAGAGCCGATTTTTCTTTCCCTTGGAAAACTCTATTATTTCTCTCTTCCCATACTGCCCACAAGATAGCTGCCCTTGTTGTTCTCCACATCATCCTTTCTTTCTTTTTTGGTTGTCAAAAAAAGCAAGGGTCAAATAAATCCGCTACGCTTGTGGGAGGAGTCCACCTACAATCAAAGAGAGAGGAGAACGAATCCCAAATTAGAGCACTAAAAGGACAAGAAATTAATAGGTACCATCTCACCATTCCTCAAGCAAAGGCTACAGACATGAGGTGACAAGCACCAATTTGGTCTCGTTCTTTGAAGCATTTCCAAGGTATTGATTTTTTGGAGAACCACTTCCCAACAAAAAACCCTTACTTTTGGGGGGACCAGAGTGCTCCATACTTCTTTAACAGGAAAGGAAGATACCGGGTTAGAAGGAAGGACCAAGCATTGGAAAACGAAGAACAAGAAAAACTACCTGTAGAAGTTTCAGTCTAAATTCTACTCTCAGGAGAAAATGATCTAGAAAAACTGAACTTAGAAGAGAAAAAATATCAATTGCCGAGTCCACTTCTGAATCCCTTAAACCTCTCCTTAGTCCCAGATCCCAAGAATCCCCAAAAACACGAAAAGAACCTTATTACCCACACAAGCCTCATACATGATGAAAGGAGAGAAGATAGGCAAGATACCAACAATATCTTTCCACAGGGAAAAGCACGAAGCCCTTGGGTCGAGTCCAACGTCCCAACCATTTGCTACCATTGCATGAATACTTATCACCTTGTGCCATAGACTCTCGTGCTCCTTAGGAAACCTCCGTAGCCACTTACCTAACAAAGTTGTGTTTCTTATTCTAATATTTCCAATCCTAATGCCCCCTTTGTCTTTCTTTCTAGACACCACTTCCCATTTTACCCTATGATCCTTTTTAGTATCTCCAGGTTCCCACAAAAAATCTCTCATTATTTTTTCAACCTAGTTTGCAATCTTAACAGGCAATTTGAAGGTAGACAAAAAATACACTGGCAAATTTGCTAATTGTTTTCAGCAAGAAGAAGAAAAAGAAGAGTAGAAGAGGAAAAAGAAGGAGAAGAGGAAGAATGCCGTGAGAGCCAAAAATCTTAATGTTGGTGGCACCCAGCAATGTTATTTAAATGTTAGTGCGAACAAGACAAAAATTAAAAAAAAAAGGAAAAAGACCAAAATGCCCTTCTGCGGCATATATTACATATTTCATCACTCCCCCTCAAGTTGGGGCATAGATGTCAATCATCGCCAACTTGTCACAAAGATCATAATGTCGTAGTGAGCATAATCCTTTAGTAAGAACACCTGCAAGTTGTTCATCAGACCTAATGTAGGGAGTGCACACTTGCCCCTTCTCAATTTTCTCTCTGATGAAATGTTTGTCCACTTCAATATGCTTGGTTCTATCATGGAGAACTGGGTTGGCTGCGATGTTGATGGCAGCTTTGTTATCACAATAGAGTGACATAGGATCATCAAAGGGAAATCCTAACTCACTCAGTAGGTT